ATTTTTTTTTTCCCCCCTATAAAATATGATTTGTAAAGCTACGAGTGCCAAAAAAATAAGGACAAAGGGTGCACAGTACTTCCGAAGCTGAAAGGCAAATTGGGTTATGACAAATATAAATGCATTTTTGTCCCAAAATCTAAATCCGCTGTTAATAGATTCGCTTAAACTTGTACCTGCAGATGTTGCTGTGGAAAAATCAACTGATATTTACAAAAATGGGGGGGCTCATACTTTTTTAATGACTGTTATTTGAATATGCAACTCATTTTTCCTTGTGCAAAATCTATTTTCCGTTGCGCAACATTACGGTCTGCCGAGTTTGTATCAAGCTCTGAATTGTGTCTGTTATCACGTGAGTATTTACAAAGGACGCTTCCGACTCGACAGTGATGAAGTGACCTGCAATCAAAAGACGCATCTGATAAAAGAAGGAAATACTTACGCACGTCTGCTGCTTCATCTTGCACAAAACCACAATCACTGCAACCACTCCTACAAACAGAAAGAAAAATAAATGCATAAATAAAAACTACTTTAGATTGAGGGATGAGTCACCAATGCAACAATTTCGTTTTCCGTTTCATTGCGGTATACAGCAAAAACACTGTAAAAAGTTATGTGACATCTAGGATACAAGCCTAAAATAATGATGCAACAATATTACGTTTAATAATCTTTACTTCTTTCTAAGTCAAATATAATTAATCAAATCATGTAAATTGTCCAAATTAGTAGTATATAATCAGAAGGATATAATAAGTGACATTTAAAGTGGAGGTCAATGCACGTTTTTTTAACACTATAGACTAATTGTTAGTAATTCTTTGAATGAAAGGGCCACACACCTCAAATCTTTCCTTAGAAAAATACATTTGTTGATATACGACCGATAGCATGCTAGGCTTAAGATAAACATCCAAAAACAAATAGTGTTAAGCTGAAGTGAAAACAGTGGTGTCGTTAACTAGGTTATCTCATTAGTGCCCCGCTGCTTTCGCCTGTTATTCAATCGCCCGAGTGTAAATTAGATTCAATCCGGTTGCTATCGCTGCAGGTCAACAAAACATAACTTTTGTTTCTATGCATTAATTATGAACCTTGATAAGCCGATAACCAGTTAGATATTGTATACCAGAGAGAAGGGTCAAGTGCCTAAGCCACGCGATACACTCCTTACGTTTCACGCGCACTTGGGTCATTATCTAGATGCACAGACCTGAAAGGCGACTGAATGATTTGAAGAAAAATTTTTTAAAAAGCAGACATTTCAGCAAGCATATATGCCTTGCTTACAGTTACTGCCCATTCAGAACGGCCTAATAGTACTCGAGCAATTTTAAATCAAATATTTTATTTTCATTTTGGACTATTGTGTTGATTTCTCGAAAATCCTTTTAAATAAAAGCAAAATGACCTGACACAAACTGACATTTTGAATAAATAAAAAAAAATAAAAGTATCATCAGTGTACAAGGGCATTGTCCTAAATCAAAGAAGAAGAAAAGCTTGATTAAATGATTTTAAAAAGCCATGCATTTTTTTAAAATAAATGTTAGAACCAAAAAAGGCTTGCAGCCTGGCGCCACAGTGGAACTTTCTTAAATAAAAAATAATAAAATAACTTTTTAAATCCCAGAAACCAACTTGATGATCTGATACATCAACATTGAGCCAGCAGCTCAAGAACAGTGTACAGTGAGCCCAAGATGGTGCAAAGAACCACTGAGGAGCCTTTGTTGAATGCACTGATAGGTCAACCACTTTACACTGGATTCATTTAGCGCGCGGTTCAGAGCGTCTGCGTGCAGTTCATTGGTGTACAGTACAGAGCGTCTGCGTGCAGTTCATTGGTGTACAGTACAGAGCGTCTGCGCGCAGCAGCGGGAAAAGGCACACCATATAATACTTTGCAGTAAAAGTACAGCAGGACATCCGCGTGACGTTTTCTTTTTCTTTTCCTTTTTTCTTGCCAGTGAATTCAAATTTGCTAGAGTGATTGACAAGGTCCTATTCAAATAAAACATCCCGCGGAGAGCATGCACACTTTTTTTTAACCGCGCACTGGAGGCGTGGAGTTCGCGCTTCTGACATTCTCTCCCGCAGTAGCTCTTCTCCAGCGAGCCCTAATGACACCACCCAGAGACACCGCGGCTGAAGAAAACTGTTTTTTGAGTGTGTGTGTGTGTGTGTGTGCGTGCGTGGAAGCGCGATGTTTTAATACCGCCGGACGTGTTTGAGCAGATCTTTTAATTGGAGCATATAACGCAGAGCGAATTCCGTGGGAATAGTTTGTTTTGCAAACACTGGAGAGCACCGACGCCGCCAAAAGGCCCTTTCCCAAAGAACGCAACTTTGTGTAGCCTACTTCGAGTTATTGTTTGCAGCCTACTGTCTGTGTTCTCGACATGGAGTAGCTCGGAAGCGCTGTTCCTTGACTCGGTTTCTCGCTTATGGACGACTGTAGTAGTCCCCTTTCTCCGAAGGCAAACGCTTTCAGTATTGCCTGTCTGATTTCAGCGAGGGATCAAGCGGGAAACACAGCGTTTGACAAACACGCCACTAGCCTGGACACGCAAGTGGTGCAAAACTGCTCCAGATCCATTCAAATGCACTACAGCACAGTCACGCGGGAGATGGAAGGTACGGACACGATCTTGACGATAACCTTGTGATTTGTCGGGCTCGCTCAGTTTGTTGAGAAACTTTCAGTTGACGCCAAGACACGTGTATTTCACCATTGCAAACATATTCAGCACAGCACGTTCCGTCTAGTTACGCCCGACGCACTGAATAAATAAAACGCCGCGCGCTAATTTGTACAGTACCCAGAAATGCAACTATAATTTCCCCCGAGTTACACTTCAGCTACAACTCGTAAAACAGGCTAGTCATTGCGTGCTCCTCAAATAACATAAACCATACAGTAAGCGAGTGCGGTGCAAACCGAAGCATGCAAAGTGTCAGAAATCTAGGAAACTCAGATTCCAGAAGGATGAGCCTGTCAGTCGAGCGTGGCGCGGGTAAAACCAATGGCAAAAAATATGAACAAAATGAAATAGCATTCTAGAAATGGACCGGATAGTTGTTCCTTCGCAACATTAGTTGTTTGTCCGTGTTGCGCGGGTGTTTGTTTGCTTTGCGAAAAAAAGTGTACTCTCAGTCGTGCCAGCTAACCAGTCTATTGTTAGAGGAGGGCGGTGTGGGCGATACACTTATCCAAAAGTAAATGGGTGCCGGAAAGCCCATTATAAGGGGCGCACTTCTCTGTCAATCAGTCTCGTCCCAAGGCGAGGAAAGGCACATTACCTGCAGTTCCTTATCTAAATAGAAACAAGAACCGGTTTTATCGCAAAGGGGAGGCCCTATGCGAGAGATAAGAGAGAAGTCTGGATTTCAGTTTAGCAGTTTAGAGGCCGCTTGGAACAGTTTACAGCGCGCAAGCCTTTGAAAACAACGGAGCGCCAATACGCACAAGTTTAGACCGTCTACAAAGCCAATTAGGAAGGCGTTTTTACAGTTTTAAGACATTTCTAACGCGGCTTTTCATCTCAACTGCTTCACCTAGGCAATATGCGTTAGCCTAGAAGGAGACCGAGTTCTTGGATTCATCACTTGGGACGTCGTGAAGTTACTTTCTCTTTGATAATCATATAGGCGAACCCCTGCATTCACTTGCATATTGTTGCTGTTGAACTCGAGTCCCGCGCAAATTGTAAATCCAGTTTTTGGAATGATTTCAGCGATATCAAGCCCGTGGCTGACGCAGCTGTCCCATTTTTGCGAATTATAAGGGGCGCACTTCTCTGTCAATCAGTCTCGTCCCAAGGCGAGGAAAGGCACATTACCTGCAGTTCCTTATCTAAATAGAAACAAGAACCGGTTTTATCGCAAAGGGGAGGCCCTATGCGAGAGATAAGAGAGAAGTCTGGATTTCAGTTTAGCAGTTTAGAGGCCGCTTGGAACAGTTTACAGCGCGCAAGCCTTTGAAAACAACGGAGCGCCAATACGCACAAGTTTAGACCGTCTACAAAGCCAATTAGGAAGGCGTTTTTACAGTTTTAAGACATTTCTAACGCGGCTTTTCATCTCAACTGCTTCACCTAGGCAATATGCGTTAGCCTAGAAGGAGACCGAGTTCTTGGATTCATCACTTGGGACGTCGTGAAGTTACTTTCTCTTTGATAATCATATAGGCGAACCCCTGCATTCACTTGCATATTGTTGCTGTTGAACTCGAGTCCCGCGCAAATTGTAAATCCAGTTTTTGGAATGATTTCAGCGATATCAAGCCCGTGGCTGACGCAGCTGTCCCATTTTTGCGATGTTGCAGCCTTCACGACCAGCAGCCTGAGCAGTCTCAATACGCCTGGGAGTTACCATCTCTCTCCTTCCCCTGGGGATCCATACAGCCACCATGAAAGCCAGTTTGAGCCGTGCCCTGCTGCCCAGCACAGCTACAGCTATTCCGGATCCAACCCAGCGCAGGCCCCGGCGGACACCGCAGCGTCCAACTGCTCCTCGTCAAGCTCAACGCCGAACAAAACGCTGGTGAAAAAGAACCCTAAAGTAGCCAATATTAATGTACATTTGGAAATGAAGGCGCTCTGGGATGAATTTAATCACCTTGGGACTGAAATGATTGTCACAAAAGCTGGGAGGTGAGTTGACAGATTTCTGTAGTGAACTTCGAGAAAATCTGTTATTAAAAATAAAGGTGCTTAAAAGGTTCTTCACAGCGATGTTATTGAAAAACCATTTTTGGTTCCACAAAGAAGCATTCAGTGAAAGCACTGTAAATTTAGCATAAATTTGATTTCAATAAAATAAGTCACTTAAAAAAAAATCTACTTTGTGTTCAATTTCATTTAGATTTTTTTACTGTGCATATTTCAATGTAAGCAAAGCAGACAAGTAAAGCTGTTAGGAAGAAAAGAAAGGAAACAAAAGAAACGAAAAGAAAAGAAAATGTGGGTCAAGTATGAGGAAAAATAAATTTAAAACGTAAATATGCAAATGCGTCAAATATAATCGTCACCATTTTCGGTATCTATACACTTCAAAAACAGTACTTTTATTTAAAAGCAAATAATACGACTACAAATACCGGTTCAATCGGCAACAACAGTGCGTTTTTCTTTATGGCCTAAAGACGCGTTTTAATATCGATTTAAATGCAGGCTAAACATTATACATTTATTTGCAAGGTGGCATATAGATATGGTACATTTGAATAATTTTACATATTTACTTGTGGATATAATCGTGACTTCTATTTAACAAGATTAATGACCCTCTATAAAGTCACGGCTTTGATTCATAATGATCTGCTTATACAAGATACTAAACGGCGACAGAAGCGGATAAAAGATTATGGGAAAATTGTAATTAAAAAAAGTAAACATTTTAACAGTTAATAGCTAATATTTGAACTGGTTGTCCTCTTATGTGTGTGTGCAAGGTCATCCGTCATTCCAAAGGTACCCACTACACTGGATCTAAAGGAAAGCCACTTTTAAAGCTACTTTAGCTTCATCTATCCACAACTAGCGCGTGGAAAGACTCTCACGTCCACTGAACAATGATTCCAGGATCACTTTCACTGGTATGCAGCATGTGGTGTGCCTTCAGAAGGGGCTTACACGGTTTCAGAATAATGTATTTGTGAACACAACATGCGTTTATTCTGCACAATCGAGCACTGCATCCTTGTGCGCAGGCTAGAGTGTGTGTGTGTGTGTGTGTGTGTGTGTGTGTGTGTGTGTGTGTGTGTCTGTGAGCGAGAGAGAGAGAGAGATACGCTGCGACGTGCGCTGGAAATAAACGTAGGTAGGCCTAATACTGTATTTGTAGGCTACATTGCAATTTTGCACAAAAATAGTTCGACACCACAATTAAAAGAGTCCAATTACAGAAGGATTTATATAAAATGATTGCATAAATAGAAAACGTAGCAGTCATGAATACAGTATATAGCTAACGGATTACTTCTGCATTCTCCTCTTCAGACGAATGTTTCCTACATTTCAAGTCAAAATATTTGGAATGGACCCAATGGCAGATTACATGCTCCTGATGGATTTCCTACCAGTGGATGATAAACGATACAGGTATACCATGAACCTGAGTGCCAAGGAGCCTGCTGTAGCCTACATCATGCATGCATATATAATTATGCATCAAAACGAATAAACACATTTCGAAGTTAGATCAACGTTGCGTTGCGTAATGTCAATCATATGTATAGTGCATATTATTAGTGTTATCCAAAGAGCACAATTGTCCCAAACGGAGCACTCATTCTCTTTCTTCTCTATACTGAAGGTATGCCTTCCACAGTTCATCGTGGTTGGTGGCTGGGAAAGCTGATCCAGTGACTCCAGGAAGAGTGCACTATCACCCCGACTCACCTGCCAAAGGAGCGCAGTGGATGAAACAGATCGTGTCCTTCGACAAACTAAAACTAACCAACAATCTACTGGACGATAACGGACATGTAAGTGTGACTTTTTATCTTGTTGTTTTGTTTTAACGGAGACCTACTTAAAAATACTATTGCATAAAAAAAGAGTTATGAGATATTCGTCTATTGTCATCTTTCATATTTATTTGAAAACAGCACAGACCAGTGGAAGAATGAGTAAGCATTCCTAAATTACGCATGCGTGGCAGATCTGCATATTTAAAGGCAGTAGGCCTATTTAATGTCGCTATTTTTGCTGCAGTGGAAATAATTAGTGTAGGTTGTCACTCCGGCGTATACATATGTTGGACGTTAATTATAGCTATAATAATTATAAAGTTAACGACACTAATGAGCAGGGGAAACGCGTAACAGCTATGTTCTTATTAATCGTTGATGTTTATTTATAGCCTACGATGGATTGCTTCTTAGTTTTTTTCCACATTTAATAATGCAAATTTAATATTTTTTATTTAACTTTTTTGCATGTATTAATTTGAAGTAATTTAAATATGCCAAATAAGAAGTGTATGTCTATGCGTGAAGCGCGGCACGTAATTCATCGCAAACGGAGCTGCTCGAGTGCCTGATTTGTAATATTTTTTTGAAGTCATGTTCAATCATGCATTGCTTTTGCAGATCATACTGAACTCAATGCACAGATACCAGCCCAGATTCCACGTGGTCTACGTGGATCCTAGGAAAGACAGTGAGAAATACGCCGAGGAAAATTACAAGACGTTTGTTTTCGAGGAGACCAGATTTACCGCCGTCACAGCGTATCAAAACCACAGAGTAAGTGCTCATCTCACACTAATTATTACTGCTTTTTAGAAACACCTTGCTGTTGTCACATATGCCCACTGATTATAATAATGCCACAATTAAAGACCCGCCAACAGTAGTCTATTTTACGGGGAAATATCGCCTACTTACAGTATCTGCTGTAGTTATCTATTTATTGTTTTGAACCATGCCACGTTAAGTCCGAAATAAAATGAAACACTAAAAACTCGAAAAACACGATCCTAATAGAAATAAATTCGAGTAGCCTATTATTAGAATATTTTAGAATTGACTTTAAAATGCACTTTTTAATAGGCCTATTAAAATTATTTTCATATGATCTCAATTTACCTTAAAGAACTATTTATTGTTTATAATTAACACACATTGGACACAAATAATTTTTACAAAAATAAACATTTTAAACGCTATACACTTGAACGCTGAATAGAGACGGTTGTGTCACTGGTGCTCTCACGCAGCTGTCCGGTGTTTTTCTTCTTCTTCTTCTTTTCATCTGTCTTTCCTGCTCTGTCTTCTATCAGTTTGACCTCTTGATCTCTTGCTCTCACCGCGGGCTTTACATTTGTTTTTCAACTCATTCCGGAAAATCACGCACACATCTTCATCGAGCGCTTTTCCACAGCCGCGAGGCTTTAGCTTAGTTTAAATAGTTTCCAATCTGTGTCCAAATAAATGTTGAAAAGTGTTATTGTTAACATAAATGCAATCGTCGCGTGTCTACGCCCTTTCAGGAACACCGCACATTCGTTAACATTGTTGTATACGCGATTAATTGGAGCGTAACATTGCAGAAAAATGAGTTTACAATTTAAAAAACGCCTTATAATAACACAAGCTCTGGAATGGACTTTGAGAAATGATTACCTGTATAAACAATTTCATTGTCAGAATAAAAATAAATGAACGATATTGGAGGTCAATACCCGAATTTGTTCATTTGGCACCCGCACATTTGTCACGTTTTCACTCTCTTCTTCTCAGATAACGCAACTGAAAATCGCCAGCAATCCGTTTGCCAAGGGCTTCAGAGACTGTGATCCGGAGGACTGGTGAGTTTTTCCTTTTTGCTTTTAAGTAAGATTAAAAAAAAAAAAAAGTATTGGAAATATTGTTTTGGAAATAAGACCATTATAATGCACATTTATAAATGAAATGCACACGAATGCCGACAGAACAAACATACTTTCCAATCAACACAAACTCAGCACACCTGAAAAACAATAGGTGCGTAGGAAAAATAGTCCAATAATATTGTTGAATCAAAAATATAAAAAGATGCAATCTGCCTGATGAAGATCAGTGGACTGAAACGTTGCTTGTGCTTGTGACAATAAACTTCAATATTTAGCAAGTATTGATAGTGTGCGGGATTGCATCTTTTTATATTTCCAACTTAACCTTAGAAATAGAGATGCAACTATATTTATTGTCTTTTTAAATATAGTACAGGTTTTATACAGTAAATATGCATTCATTTTACTTTACTGACAATATGAAAAAAATGCTGTCATCCACACACACACACACACACAACACACACGCTCACGCTCACACACACACACACACACAC